GCAGCTCATTTTCACCACCCAAACAAGACGACTAAACTCATTCCATGGGGCTAAAAAAAAAGAAAAGGGTAAAAGGAGAAAAATTAATCGGTCTACTCTACACTAAACAAATTTACATCGCCGTTTGACCGGTTATCCTTCCAAACATGACCATGATTTGCTGCGCCCCCAATACCCGCTTTTTGCACATCTGTCCAGAGGTGACCTAAGGATGGCTCCACTGCAACTGGCAACCACATTCCACATTTGACCACGTCCATTGTTTAAAGAGGTCAACCACTTCAGGTACCCACCGATTGCACCCAGCATAAAATAATCAAACGTTACGAATTAATTTCTCCATTGGCCACCACCAATTCACGACCTCACTGAAGTTAAAAATTGAACCCTGCTGTACTGTGTTTCTTTGTACATGTTAATTTACGTATTTTGGTTTGATGGCCGTGGAAGATGCATGGTCTAGAACGCTTCTTGAGTATACAGAATTTGACCGATGCACGTCGTCGTGTGAGTTGGTCCTGATCGCACGGCACTATTCTTTCAGTGTGATCATCATGTTTTTGTATCTTTGTGTAGCAACATTACACTTGACAACCAAGTTCGACAGCACTCAAGTTGATCAAAAGACACCGTTTCGTTTCCATAATTACATCAAACTATGCCCAAAGAGACAAGGGGCATACGAAGAGTGTAGATGAACACTATCTTGTTCTCGCTTTACCACGTCTTGTATCTGTGACAACCAAGTAGTTTAAACGGCCAATGTTCAGTTCTAACGTGCTTCAACCGCAAAACAAAAAAAAAAAAAAAAAAAAAAAAAAAAAAGGTGAAAAGGGTTTTATAGAGAGTGGCAAAAGATATCTTTTGTGGCCATCAACATCAGCTAAGTCGTGGTTGACTGATAGCTTGCCCTATCGGCGTCCCAGTCATCAGTCCTCGGTCGCTAGAAACCGAAGCAATAGTACAGAGCGGGGAATCATCCTTTTGTGAACTGCCAAATAAACAGTCGTTGCAACGTACTTATTGATAACGTTTCGTGGCCTTTGATTCAAATGCATCAGCTATCAATAAGCGCAGAACACATATAGCAGAACCGTGCACTCAGGCTAGGAATATAACCCTACGTTCCTTAAATCAATTAACCACCCAATCATCTCCCAAACGGATCCTCTCCCAGCGTTTCGACGAAATTTGCCACAATGGATGCCAATCGCACCAAGGTCACTCGGCCGGAAACGATATTTTTTCCTGCGATAGCCAATTCCGGTGTCAATGATAGTGTGTCCACCGCACCTGCAGAGCGGACGAAAGAAGCGGCTGCTCCGACCACCCTCACCAAGTCCAACCCAACCACCCTCCCCAAAGCCAAATCCCCGACCAAGCCGTTAGTCACATTTCGGAAGCGAAAGCGAATTTCAGAAACACCAACTTCCAGTCTCCAGCCATTGAGCGGAGATCCTTGGTCGGTGTATATTAAAGGCATTGAAATCTTCCCGCGAAAGGGAATTTTTCTGGCCCAGAATAGAGAGGACAAAATGGAGCTGGTCCACATTCAACAGCTCAGGGCGGAGCCAGCCTCAATACAGTCTTTGGTAAAGACTGTCAACGACCTCTCTTACCGCAGTTTCCCACGTCTCCTGTGTTATTACCAACATGAGGATCACTCGTTCCTGGTGTGGGAGCCGGTTGAATGCTCACTGTCCCAGGTCCTGGGATCCAAGTACACCCTAAAGGAAACCGAGATTGCCTCGATCGTGTGGCCAGTATGTCTACCTACCCGTTTCTGTCGCTCTTGGAGAGACAAGCCCACTTCGACACCAATTTTGACCCTCTGTAGATCCTTATCGGAATCAGGTATCTCCGCGATTGCGATAGAGCACTTGCCACACTCACCAACGATGAGGTCTTGTTTACGGGGTCTGGTGGGGTCAGGATCGGTGAGTCAGTGAATGCACAGCGAACCCATCGCAGTCTCTAACCCCACCGCATCTCATTAGCTGGCGTGGAACGTAGCTGCCGCATCGATCCTGAGGACATGAATGCGGCTACGCTGAAGTTGACCGCATTGTCGGAGATTGTTAAAAGATTAATGAAAAAGAACGAGAAATTCGACCCTGATTTTCCGTGGAGCGCAGAGGCTCGGAATCTCCCGCACAGGCTGGATACGGTCGAACTGGACGAACTGATGCTGGTAAGTCGGCCTGACCTATTGTTAAGATCAAAGCTGAGCAACCAGGATGGCTTTTTTGCTTCCTTGAAAGGTGAGGCAGAACTGAAGCTTATGGTGAATATCGTAAACAAGACCTCGCACTACGATATCAACTTTCCGGCACGCAGGTGAAGCGAAGCTCGCTTCCTGTCTTTTCATATATTACACTTTATGAGATGAGGGGCTAGTTTAGGAGAATAACCATAGCTCTTGTCTTTTGATAGTGTTGCTGCTCACTGGCGCTACCTCTTGTCTCCAAAGCATTTATGGTCTCGTCGAAGTGGACAAGAAATATGTGCCATAGCAACCCGACATAGAGGCCAGTTACGACCTCAATGCACATATCTATTTTGGGGACATGACTACTATACATACGATACAGAAACTTCAACTTATATTATGCTACAATAATGCGACAACATGCTACAGTAAAAGCGTATACAGAAAGAGGGCTTGCTTGCAATGGTAAATCTGAGGCTTTATTACGCATACTAGGATAGCTCGCCAAAACAATTGCAACCTTGACTTCAAAAATGGGTAAATAGAAAGTCGCCTGGTACAGTAAAGAAAAGGCAGCAGCACAACTGATGGAAACCTACTTCTCTTCTTGTACGCATGATTGGCTTCCTTCTGGAAGCTGGTGGTCTTGCAATATCTTCATAGCTTCCATAACACCCATGCCCACGCGAACCAGCTCGCTCTCCAGCTGTTTTACTAAACGCCGGCTAGCGTCGAGTTCCCCGTCAATCTCTCGATACTTTACCTCCAATTCCAGCTTTTCCTTGAGCAAATCCTCCGAGCAGGCTTTGGCACGTACAAGTTCAGCTGCAAGTTCCTTATTTGCGTTTTCCAGTCGTTGAATAGTGACTGTGAAAGAGCCACCCCCAGAATCTGTCTCGGGTGGCTTTGAAAGCTTCGGTGGGGACGGGCGCTTTGATCTTTCAGCATTTTGGCACTCCACAAACATGGGTGGCTCACCTCGGCGCTCATCTTCTCAGAGCCTGCGTCAAAATCTCGCAATGTCTGCGGACTAACAGCTTCCATCGAACACCCAAGTGCATCACGTATGTCCTGATAGAAGCCAACCGTGCCATTGCTTAAATTTGTTTTCAATAGATGGTTTTGAGAATTTGAAACCGACCATGCGTAGCCGTCTGCTGCAGAGGGCTGTAATCGGACCCGACTCGGTGCGACAGTTAGACCTAATCGCTCATCTAACTATGCCGTTAGTTGCCAATCGGTTCTGATGCGTTCTATGTTTGGGCATCGTACGAATGTGAGCCGCTAGAGCTTCCCGGCATTGCTGCCTGGACAGAGCACGTTTCTCGTTGCTTGTGAGTGTCATTTGGATTCCTTCCTGACTGATAATCATTGGTCTATAACAAAGCGTGGGCTGTATGCGTATCTATCTATACACTTCGCTATTAACGTTATTGTCGATACCCTTGTATTAAAGTTTCTTCGCACCCTCCAGCATGGGGCTCATAACCACCTCTGTTTAAATGCCAGAATAACCACATTTGCAGGCGCCACAGACCAAGGCTAAGGCGAGTTGGGACTCGGAATCTCCCGCATTTCTGTTGCTCCATGCGTGTTTGGTGAATCATTGTTGGATGCCCATGCTCTCACCTATGGCTGCAGTAGCCATGGGGTGGTTTTTCCCGCAGCTGTATTTGACCGTTTTATATACGCAATTAAAATATCTCATTAAGGAAAACGTAATGCATATTACTGTAGTGCAAAACCTAGTAAATCATGATTCTTTTTCCGTTGCTAATTGGAATCGGATGACAATTACCGGACCTCAGATCTCGAAACGAGGCTAGCGGCAACTATGGTACTTCCACGGAGATACAGGCCCAGTCTTTCTGGTGTTTCAGAATTGGAGTCGGACAAAGGGTGGATTGTTGGAATGGCTCTTGTCAAACCTGAGGGCGACTTCCATTGTCTCGAAAGGGCGAATTTGTAATTGAGGGAAAGGGCCGGCTCATAGTAGCTCTTTCCGACAAGATAAATACTCTGAGAATCCGCTGATGGCCGGCATGGGGTTTGCCAGAATCATTCATCTTCTCCAGCATAACTTCAGCATAGATGGCGCATATCTCTCCCGGGCGGCTGCGCCAGAATAGAGCCATTTCTCCGGAGAGACCCAGCCTACTGGGCCATCCGCCCAAGATGCGATCTACATCGACCACGAGGAAGAAAAGAGTTCTTGGTCATTCGCGCCGGTTGGCGGAGAGAGCCACGGGAGATATCCCCATCAGCCCATCACGTAAACGCAGCCATATTACACTACGACTGCATCAGCAGCAGTCTTCGGGGCTTGAGTCCGCGTGGTGGACTCCTCCCGAAATCCTCGGCCAGAAGGACGATAAGGAAAAGCAAGACCAGGCCGTTACTAATGAGGCGATTCGGCAAGCCTGGCTCCAACGTCTGCGCCCCAGAGCGTCTCACCAATGTCCACCGGTTGAGTCTAATGAGACACAGAAGCGGAAACGCAAGTGTAAGGTCTAGGGGGACTAAGACGTGTAATCAATATGCCACGATTGGGTTGTTGTTATAACCAAGTGTTCTACGAAAGCGGTTATGTAGGTAACTCAATCAATACGGACATTTCCCCTTACATCCGAGTTACACATAGCCTAGTGTATAATGTAGGAATTGCAAAAACCCGATAGAAAGAGCACATTGATCCACTTGGGGGATTCGTTTATCTACAGCGGGCTGGTAGAGTAGATAAAGACCTGCTTCTCCCTCCTGAGCCTTCTTGCTATCAAGAAATCATCACGTAATGTTTACCCTGCGTCTATCCGTCCTAGGCTTCGGTGTCTTGGTTGCGGCAATCCCAGACCAAGATATTATTATCAGCTACGGGGAGATCATTCAAGTAAGTCAAACCTTCTGTCCCTGAAGGGTTTTCTAATTCCGCGGCGAGAAGCTGATCATAACCAACACACCAGAATAGCATATATGAGCTCGAGGGCAGCGCCGAGCAAGTCTTTCCTTCGGCCCTAGCCAGCGGTCGCCAGAAAGGAATATATTCCCCCACCCCCGAGGGCAGAATATCAGAGCAAAGGGAATAGGTGGGCCTAACAGTGTACGCTAAACTGGCAACATCAGAAAACTCAATTTTGATCAAATATTATTACACTATGGTATTGAATTCAGCACTGGAAATCAAACGTCAGAATTCCAGAAAGACGCGCATTGGGTGGGTGTCATCAATCAACCTTGAAATATATTTCGTGATAGCTGTTGTGATCTGAAGCCCGCAAAGAAAGCTTCAGAGCACTTGGTTGAATGCATCAAGCTCCGAACTCGGAGGGTCATACGATGCGTTGGTTTTCGGGAAAATGCTGCCGGCATTAATCATGCCATGTGCAGGAATACCCTCAGCAGGTGTACTTCACCATTATAAATAGCTATAGAGAAGCCTCCTTTTGGGAGGCAGACTTAAATCATCTCGTTTCACTGCCCATTGCTCATGCATAGTGCTTCTCAGACCATTGTAAATAACAACAATAGCATCGCAAAAGATAAGCACATCTACGCTTCCACCACTACCGCAAAGACTAGAGCATGTGGATTCTTTTTCCTTTTCTTTATATGTGAAGTACAAAATCTAGATGCTACAGCCATCGTAGAGCCTTCGTAAGCATAGCATATTTCGTGTCTCTCTTCTTGCTGATTGATGAGGCGAATATATGGATGGTCCGTGCAGATGTGAGAGATATCAGCGCGGGTAAAAAAGTTCATCCGGATTAACGTATCCTAGCTAGACATAGGAAGATAGACAAAATAACAACATAAATGCGGTCGCGTTGAAGCCTCGCCAAAAAGGAACCTACAATCGAATTAAAACCCATCAAAAATCTTGGCTCACTCTTCATCAACATACCACTCAACATGAGGATGGGAACGAGGCCATGAAACTTCACGTGCAAAGCAGTATCCAGTTTGCCCGCAGACCTTTGTCATAAATCCGACCCCTCTAATAAGTAACTGTTGTTACATGTTGAACGCGTGAACCATGGGCAGACAATAAGATGGGGATTCCCTCTCTATCTGGATGGGTGCAATGTACCAAGCAAACACCAGACACACCTCAGAAACATGGCACGCCGCGACTGGTTCTGTTGCTCTTCAAAGCTCGGCTCGGTCACTTGGTATAAAGACTTTCTCATGCCAAAGTCCTGGACCTTACTACGAAGCAGCAAACGCTCACAATGGATGGTCTTCCCAATGAGCATGAAGCGAAAGTTGAGCAAGACCAAGGTAGAGGAAGCGTCCCGCCGGGTTACATAAATGGGCTCCCAGAATATCCAGCGATGCAGGATCTGGGTCAGCAGCCGGTAAGCAACGATTGCATCCCCCATGCAGCTGCACACTAACCTTAGCCGCAAGCTCCCACAACTGCATTTGCCCCCGGACGAGGCACACGCCTTGGCCGCTGAACCATTCCAACCACTCGTCGAAGAGCTAAAGCGACTGAATCAAGACGACCCCCAACTCGCGCACCAGGCTGCACAAATAGTGAGGCTTTACCGACGGCTGTATGAGTCTTACGTTGCAAGAAAGTCTGAGAGCCAACGTCTTGAGAAGGCGAATGGGGAACTCCGCACGGCAAATCTCCAGTTATGCCAAGAGAGTGAATTATTGAAAGTTCGATACGCCGAACAGGAAGAGGAACTGGCCTATTTTGGACAAGCCTTTGACAAACTCAGCAGTGGCATCGGTAGCCTCTTAGTGGACTCAGAGGGCTGCAGTTCAGAACCGATGTATGAGGCAGCTAGCAGAGTGAATGAGGGGGGCCCTTAAACTGTCTTATCTAAGCTTATCGACTGTATTGAATACGAGATGGTTTCAATTTCGGGATACGACTGTTTATGTGGCAATATACAGTCGATAATTAGAACCCGCAAACTGCCCTAGGATCGGCAGTACACAAAAGGAAACATCGAGCGGGACTACAGGTTGCTGCCTAGAAACGTGAAAGTATTATGTGGCATTCCGTCCCGGCCATAACTAGATAGGTTCGCAGGATAAACCATCACACCACGACGTGCGAGGACTCCTGAACCCAACTATTATATCCTAGTCCTAAAAGCTCAAGATTGTTCCATCTCACTGCCTTATACCAGAGAAGCTTAGTGTAAGTATTATGGAGTCAGAGTGTAGTGATCATGCCCCTTCAGCGCTCAGGAGCCACGTGTGAGGCACAGGCGAAGCTGTACATAAGTTGTGCACTATTCGAAAGGCTTTCGCAATCGGTGATATAAGCATGTATAAGAATTAATACGAAAGTTGAACTCATTAGGCTATATCTAGAGCTATACCGATGAATAAGTGGACGTGTATGAATATTTACATGTACAGTGACGCAGCAAATGTTTTAACACCCCTCTGATTTTTTTAGATTCTGCCGGTCAAAAATTGGAATTTTCAACATCCTTTAACTTGTTTCTTAACAAAGCACTTGGCCTTTGTGTATTGAATAGGATCATACCTTCTATAAAAAACACCTACTGAAACAAGAATGTTTAAAAAGTAAGTTAACATTAACTTGCTCTTTGTTTTACAATAGGCGGTCTCAAAAGCGGTCTGTCCAAGGGTGTTAAAACATTTGCTGCGTCACTGTAAACATTAGCCTTTCTCTTCAAGATTCGAGCTTCCTGTCTGTCCAGCCGCCGGAAAGAGGAAGGTGACCCCCACCCACGAGTGCAGCTGACACAGAGCCACATAATATGGCCAATAGGGCTAGCACTCTCAATGAAACACACAAAGCAGCTTTGGTCTTATGGTATAGTTTCTCGGTATGTAGTCTGGACTCTATTGGGCGTTTGTGGAGAATTTCCTCATCTATATCTTTGGCACAAATTGTGGGATTGCTAGATCGCTGTTAATTTGAATCGCTTTTCACTCTCACTGATGACCCACTTGAGTGACGAAGATGGATATTTTGGTGGCTAGGTTTGTTGCCTCTGACTGTTGATAAGTAGAATGCGGAAGCTATGAGGGAAACACGCCGGGTGTGGCTTTATACGTTACTAGAAGAACCGCCCTTGCCCATGCGCCAGCGCTTTCCAGGCCTTCTGATTGCTATTAGATAGGTACTACGGGAACATCTTCACCTGTTTTGTCATTCCTCCAATTAGACGTCACTGACAATTTCAGGGTAATTAAACAACCGTTCAGGTTCTATGTTAATAGGAAAAAGGTTCCATATGCTTACTATAAACGTATTACCAAGGCCATTGAACGCGTATTAGCAGATACGATGTTGCTGCCTAACAGCTTTGAGAATCGTTTAATTCAGACTTACACTGTTGATTCTGCTTACATTGGCCCTTATAGAGCATATCACCAAATTTCCTGGCTTTCTGGACCCAAAAATTAACAAGATTTTCGAGAAGAATCTAGGTGAATCAAGTCCATGTCGAAAAGTTCTCTTAACCAGGGCGGGGGAGGGGTTTGGTGAGGATTGCGAGGGAAGTACACACAAATTCCTTAAATGTAGCGGGTGGGATCGACTTGATATACCACAGCTCTGTAGCTCATCTAAAAAAACCGACTAAGCAGCGTTGGTAGGCTTAATTGTCAACGTTGTGACCGGGCACTGGTCCCAGTCGAAACAGCTGCAGTGTTAGTGTTGCTTTCGACGGCTCACGAGTGTTCACCAACGAAAGCCGACGGGGTTGTGTGGCAACGAAAGAGAATTTCTTATAAAAACACTGGACTAATTTCTAATCTAGCGGGTTGAATACCTGAGGCTCTATTATACAGCATAGCGCTCTCCTGTAGATTTCTTTGAACCCTTTGTGTATCTTAACCCCGTTGGAGCGCCTTCGGCAATCCTCTGCTTGCGCCAACTTTCATCGTTACTTTCAGGAGTACGCGTGCCCCCAGAAAGCACAGAGGCAAAATCGGATGTTTCATCGTACTCCGCATCATCACCGGTGAACTTTCGGTTGCGCCTCTTCTCATCTTCGCTCTTTGGACTTTCAGGAGTAAGTGTGCTTCCAGAAATCACAGAGGCGCAATCAGATAAATCCCGATGCCCTTCGTGAGCTCTCGTCTGGCCGGAGCACTCTGGAGCTTGGGTGGAAAGTTCATTTAGCCATTCAAACGAAGGCTCTAAATAGAGACTGAACAACCGCAGATCCTCGCTCGTTCTTGGACGAACGGTGTTTACCACTGCCTCACGAACGAATGGGCCAGCACATACTGATGCCGAATGTGTTAGCCATGTAAACGTAAAAAGGAATATCCTTTGAAATTTTTTTTTTTAAAAAAAAAAAAAAAAACAAAAAAAAAACCCCACAGGCATACCAGAAATGAGGAAAGGAGAGGCAAGCGTTTTGGAATACACCTACCCGTAACAACCATCTTCCCGCTTTGATTTTCCATGTAGCTTGTTAACTCTTCCCTTGGCCTGATCGGTTTGAAATAATACTGAATGCGAGTGCTGTTGGGGTAAAGGGACATGTCACTCGGCGGGGGGCCAAGGCAATAAATTCGGAAATTTAAGATCTGTACCATTGTAAGCACAGCAATGTACAAACGTGAGAGCGCAGCCATACATGGAACCCCCCGGTCACGATTGTCGAGCCTGAGGATGTGCTGGATCCGACTACGAACCCAGTCTTGCTGAGCTGTAGTCCTTAAGTTAGTAGAAAGACATGTGGGGTTACCGAAAAAACCGATAAACATGCTTACCAAGATTGCTTCTTTCGTCTTGATCCACTTGCCAAAGGACCTCCAATTTTCTTATCTTGTTTGTCCGCTCGCGGCTACCCAGCACTAGTTGCCGAATGTAAGATAAAGCACGGAATAGCCCGATATCTTCGACGACAAACAAGACGGTCCCATATTCGTCAAATCGGTCCGGGCGACCAAACGGCCCCAGCACATGAACAGGGAAGCTGATAGAAGACTGAGGGGGTTTTAATTTGTTTTGGGCAAAGTATATGTCCTGGGCGAGCCTAGCGGTGACTCCTGGTCGAGGTCGAGTTACTAAGTGCAAAGTACGAACGGTTTGCACTTTCCCACTGGAATCGCGTCCCCTGATACTGCTTTCATTCAGTTTCGTATTCTCCCAGTATACAACATAAAAGAGCGGGAGCTGCAAAAATGATGGCATTTTTGAATGTGGCAACCACAGCTGCACATACTGACCCGGACGGATCCCCAGTGGGCTGGGACCGAAATATCGAGCCACAAAAGCCCATTGCATGATCTTGCCACAGCATCATGCCTTGCGCTTCGCCATAATCTTTGGCTCCACATAGTTTTGATGAACACTGCTCCGCTCAAGGCAAGCCAGAGACAGACTCCACCGAGCAGAACCCAGCGGTAGACTGATGCCCGATCTACCAGATGGTAAACTAGGGTAATCATGGCGATGGCTGCCAACATGTAGTGGAATTTTAACGCAAGCTGTAAGTAACGTCGAAGAATTGCAGCGTGCGTTGACGGTACGATGAGAAGGAGACTAAATGTAGCCTGGACTTTGTCAGCCAGAAAGCTCGGGGCAAGAGAGGGCGAGTAAAAAGGAGAACATAATGCTTGGACTATCCGAAGGAGTACCTACTAACAAAGGAACCACATACGACGCAGACTTGGGGGCAGACTTCCGAGCGACACTGACAATGACTGACCCATGAAGCAGACAGTGAAGCACACATATACGTCCAAACCACCGGTGAAGCCACGCCAGCGTCTCACGGTCAATATTACAAATATCGGCGGGGAGGCTGAAGGTGAATCCGCTGCAGAGTGTCAAAAGGTGGATGACAGCTAGGGAGCCCGCCCTTTTCTGCACTTCCGCAAACGAATGCGCCCAAAGGCTGACAGCTACAACATTGGCAGAAACTAGAACAGTGATAACCGAAAATTGTAACCATGACAATATATCGAGCCACCGCAGGATGTGCGGCGCTGGCGATTGGAATAGCCGCCTCCAAGAGACTACTCGATGCACCCTGAGGACCCAACAGCTGCATCGTCTTCCAAGCCAGTAGACGAGCCAAGTTAACAGGAGACCGGCAACACAAAGTCCGTATTTGTCAGGAATGGAAATCCGAGCGAACCAGGCGTGGATCCTAGATGTGACTGGAGGCATATCATGTGCCCTACTGACAAGAGCATGTTAAGGAGCAGGGGGGATCAACGGAGTTCATATAAGCTTAGGTATTAGTGGGCAGGCTTTTTCATTTGTACGAGATAAGCTCAGTTTGGCTTGGGCTTCTGTGGATTGTAGTGGGATTTTACCCTGAACTGCAAAATCGCGACATAAATTAAAATGTTCATTTTTCTGCAATTAAATAGCCAATTTCAGGCTCGGTGTGAATTTGGCAGGGCCGATGCAATCAAATTCTTGGTGTTGTGTTCTCCACGTGTGCAGAAACGGGTGAGGAAATTGCCCTCAAAAAGCTTTTGCACAAGGGATGGCAAAAGCATAGTGCAGATCAATCTACTTCCCACTCGAATATTGACCGTGCATTTAGGGGGTACGGAGGTATAGTACTATAGCTATAGAACCAGAAGGTAGCAACTGAGCAAGATTTGCCGAACTGAGTGGAGCAAAATCACGCTTTAGAGAAGTGACCATGTCAGAAATGGTTGTGTACTTGATGGGCAATAAAATTTCCCAAGTCTTATTTCAGTACTGCCCGCCCAGTAAGGTTCATCTAAGGCTAGCAAGATGTTTGTACAGTACTTTCAGAAATAATATCACCAAGAGAGCTTATCTGCTTATTGGAATAGTTAAGTATTGAGCTGAGCAATACACAGATAACTAACTGCATGTGACTACAGCCAATCACAAACGAATGAACATCTAAGCTTTGTCCAGAAAAACAAAGATGACGTAAGAAGCCACTTTTCCCAGCCACAACTCGTGCTGCAAGGAGGGCCCGCACGTTCCACTCCAAATTCAGGGTTTTCGCCTGATGAAGAGCGCGTCTGTCCGAATAGCATCGACCCATTCATGAGGTGCCTCTGCGGGGATTTGTATAGACCCTTTGAGATAAATCTTGCGACCGTCGACTTTGTCCGGCCATGCACGGAGAAGAATTGGTGCTGACGGTGGAACAGACTGAATGAACGATGTATTCAGGTAGGCAGTGAAGGCTGGTTCGTCACGTCTACAACAATCTGCGAGAATACGGTCCATCAGGCAGGCAATGTACCCACCAAACAATTTGCCATCGTAGTAGCACATTTGCTGGGAAGGAGTCAGGCGCAGCAGTGATTCTGCCTCCCACCCCAGATAATGAGGCTTGAAAATAGGACGGTATCCACGGAATAGGGAACGCATCAGTTGATCAGAAGGGTCTATGATAGAATGCTGCTGCAGGCACAACGATTAGCATGTTACTATACAAATGTGCCCTGGTATCACTTACAACCTGTGATCCACTGCATGAACCAAGGGGTGGAATTTGAAGGAGTTGGGCTAGCGATCGATGTCCGCGAAACAACCGCGAGAAGAGTGTAACACAAGAAGACTGGTACATGCCTGCGGTGTATTCTCGAAAAACGCAAGATAATGATGGAAGTTCCCGAGGATAGAATAAAGGAGCCATACATAAATTGGCTGTACCCTGATTTAAAGATCCCTGGGTAGGGCTTTTATTATTTCAGCTCAAGTTGAGCGACCTACGATCGACGAATTGAACAATAGTGGCACTTGGTTAGGGCAGATTCCGAGATACACAATAGTATGAAGGATCCGCCCAGTGTACATTGGACGATCATCAACCTCACGTACAAGTATCTGCTGGTTATTCGACTGCACTATATTTTGAAAAGTAATTTAACCGGAGACTAAACGGAGAGATTTGTCTATTTCTATTTTCTCAGAGCTACTATTGTCATGGATGAAGTAAAAAGCATCAAGGAAAATTCTATAGAATAACCGGATTGCAGGATTGCATAATTAATGGAGTCAACAGCAATAATGGTTCGGATGGCCGAGTTATCCTGCAATTCATACCATTTCTTATTACATCGAGCGCCCCACCTCCAAAGACACTCCACTCCGTAAAGATGACATGAAGATTTCAACAAATTGTTTCCGGTTCACGCCAATTGAGAGCTATACATGTAGTATACTCTGGCATGATACTGTAGAATTAGTTTTTCAAAATAAATGTTTGACCTCCACTAATATCTGTGGTAAATTCTCCGACCGGACAGATGCGCCAGTAGGGTATCGTATGACCGTTTGAGCGCCAAATATTTACATTTAATTCTATCATTGAGATACGTGTTTCTCATGATAATGTTATAAAACGTAGCCATGTTATTTCTAGAACTTGAACATCACGCAGTCTGAAGAGCTCTTGTATGATAAAAATAGGCTTCAATACACTGAAAAAGATTATGCAGCAAATATGACATACAAGAAAACGATATACAGTTGATGTCGCCAGCGATCATCTTTCCGTTAGCATGGAATGGTAGGATTGCGAGAGATTTCCTATTTCGATTCTCGGTAACCTTGAGCTTCCATTGTCTCTTTGAAGCGAGGGTAGTCCTTTCTGACTTTTCTTATCCTCCTGTTATACTCCTTTTCGTCAGTTTGAAGAAGTTTATCGTTAATTCCTTCGTGCGCCATGGTGGTAGCTAGATAGGATTCATAACTAAAGACGTTTTCATCTTCCTCCTCGGACTGCTCTGAATCCTCTGACTCGCCTGATACCTCTGATTCCTCAGGGGGGCCTGGGTCATTATCAGTTCCCGTCGAGCGTTTGCTGGGAGGGATATGCTTTTCTTTTCCTTTTCTTTCTTTGTGCATTTTACCGGTGCGTTCACGATTCGCTCTTTGCGGATCCAGTTCTGATCTCTTTGCTTTGGGAGATTTCTGTCGGGCGGTTCTGATTCGGGCAGCTTCCTTGCGAGACTCTTCTCGGCCCGAAATCCATTCAACTTTCCCCGGTAAAGGAGTATCAGGCCTTTCTAGATGAGACAGTTTTTTTTCCTTCAGCCATGAGGCATTTCGCTTGTCCTGTGTTCGGCACATCTCAAAGATGTCGCGATCTAGTTGTGCTTGGCACTTGCGGCCCACCATGCCCAGAAGCTCAGATCTCGGCTCCCAAGTTCTACCCTCTTTAAACTTCTTGACGTGTTCCTCAAGGATATTCTTCCACTTGACTTGAACAAGAGTCAACCGAAACCTGGGTTTTTTGGGTTTGGTTTCATTATCATGATTTCTTCTCTTCCCTTTGCGGCGCCCATAAGGTAAAACGGTCACGGCGTCAATACGTTCAATATTGTCGATAGTGTATTGCCGTCTTCCGTTTTCATTTTTCAGAATGGATAGTCGCTTTTCGGTACTGGACAATCGTGGAAGTTCATCCAGTCTTTGCCAATCACTATCACATTGAATCGCTTCCATTTCGTACTTGGCCCCGTGAGGGAAACCATAGCCGCGGACCATCCAGATGCGGGGTCCTAGCTGGAGGTATCCTTCTTCAACAATATCTACTCCTTCATCTTTCATATGTTGAAACGTTATCGATTGAATCGCCGCTCTTGTTTTGCCTTGCGGACTACCTGCGTCTGTTCCCTGTTTTGCAGAGGATGACGTTGAAGACTCTGTATGTGCTGGTAGATTCGGCTCGCGTTCGTTGTCCTCAGCGCCGGATTCTGGATAACGTGTTTTGGTTGTGGAGTCCACGTTTGCATTTGGTGATATTGGAGCATTGCCGGGCATTTCAACATCCGCTACTGACTCAGCGTGCCCTGGTTCAGGCTGTGCGGGGCGTTTTTTTTGGCTCGCTCAATGTCTGGTACTTCACCACCTGCGACAGGGACGGCTTGCGCATGATCAGATTGTTTAGCATCACTAGAGGTATAATGATTCAGCTCCTTGCGAAGGTTGTCAATCATCCTTTCATCCGCAGGCCGTTTATTTGCTTTGTTCAAGAGCTTTTCTAGCTTCTCTTCCTTTTTATGCATTTCATCACGCCTGTTTTTCACTGTCTCTTCTCTTGCCAACGTCTGCCTTAACGGCCTGCCTGGGTTTCCAGGTACCGGAGCCGGACCCCTCGTACCGTCGGCGGTGTCATTTTCTATAGGCATTGGGTGAGCTTTGGCTTCTATGGTATAAACGCTTTATTCTTCGAAACATGCAATCAGTAGATACAAATACACACTATTTATAATATAGGAAGGAGATCTCTTGCTTTCTGAAACGAGAATAAGCTTAAATCTGAGGCATGAGCAGTTTTGCACCTAAGCCCTCAATATAGCCTCGCAACCGTACTGATTGCGTGCTTTTTAGACTGAAATTACACAAGATTGATATACCTAAAAGGCTCATAGAACAAACGTATGCAGCCATAGTGTAACGCGTAAAAGTTCCTATTGCCTTCAATGTTACTCGTTCCCGAACGCCATTCCGTATGGCATAGGGCTCTATGAATACGAAGACACAGGGATTGAGCTTGCAGCCAATATGGCTTCACTTAGGATTGCAATATTCCAGCCAGCACAAATATTGCATTGGTTATTTAGTCTTTTTAAATCTTTCATCAGTTAAGCAGAGTCAAATTGAACGGTCCATTTATCTGCCACCTTTGTGACTTCAAGTCACTCACAATTCTTTACGATCTCTACACGCCTTTTTCACTGAATGACACTGAAAATTCTGTTTTCATTGAAATCGGTTGAGGCGGCCCAGGAGAGGGCAGTATAAAAAGCGACTTCAATCCTTTCGGTTGAACGCGCAAGAACCATTTCCCCCATTGAATGCAGATCTGACTACGGACGCATGTGGTAACCAATCTGTCTGACCACCTGCGTAGACCTCAATAATTTAAGTACATCGGAATCGGCATATTGTCTCCACAGATTCCTGCTGAGCTGAAGCTGGCTTAGAAAGGAGGGAGTGCGAAGAGGAAAAGAAGAAGCAAATCAGTTACCATAAAGCACTAAGCGGGCCACAAGAGAAAAGGGGGATTTGAAAGAGAGCAATGGATGCTCTAATTACCGCGCTCGACAAGTTGAGTCTCGATGGCATTAGGCTAACCGATTCAGAGAAAATGAACGCGTCTGGAGCGATGGAAAGCGTGGAGCCTCCTGGGATAGCGGCCGATATACAGCCGGCGAAGCGGTGCCCTGGTGTTGCGGCTAAAGATAATGAGGAAGCGGACAAAAAGGAATTTCATACTGGGTTAAGCGGCAATGTCCGTTTGTTCAAATCAGAAGCAGGTATTCTCAACAACGCGAGACGAATAAGCATTGCAAAGGGCTCGCAGCAATACCAGAAAAATCATACTGAAGAAGCAGAACGAGTGGCTGTCGCTCGGTATTGTTTTAGAGGGCGGATTTACCTAATTTATCGCCACGGCCCTAAAGAAATGTGCCAATATTGGATGCAAAAAACAGAATTGCAAAATAGCGAGCAAATCAAGCAGATTCGGCCAGTCTGCAGTAACATTGACTCCATTCTTGACATTCGTGACGAAACGCACTTAGGTCGCCGTTATACTGATTCAAATATCCAAGGTATCATCGGTGTTGCTATACCACTTAACAAAGCAAGCGAGTATCACTCGTGTAAAATTGATCCCAAAAAGGGTGTTTGTGCTTTGATCAAATGGGACAATATATGTGAAGGAGATCTCACACTGTTTTGCGGCAAAGAAAGCTGGATGCCAAGAAGTGCGGTTTGCCGTATGGCACCGTCAAAAAGAAAAGCTGCGGTTCAAGAAAAAACCCAACAAGCATACGTATTGCAAATTACGAGATACACAGAATGGAAAGAGAGAGAACTACAGAAAAGGAGCAAGCCTTTGAACTCCAATCGCCCAAAATGCGGCACGCAAAGCCCTGCCCAGAATGACTTCACACACGAAGATTCCAAAACAGCGGGTGCTACTCCCCGGTTGGAGACACCAGATGGAGTGGCTGATGCTGCGAAAAGCGGCGGCAATATTACCCTGCCGAGAAAGCGTATAAAAACAGGTCACGGCATCACCCCAGATCCACAAACGGAGATGAACAACGCTCTGAATATGATGACAAACCTAGCAAAACAAGGATCTTTTAGCTACGAGTCGCATTTAAAAATGGAGAAGGCTTTTAAAGGCATTAACGATGAGCTTCGCTTCAGGCATCCTGAAGAATATGCTGCTAGAATTCACGCGATGATAGCCACTTGGCCATCTTACAAAAGACAAATGACGGCGAGAGGCTTTCAAGAGGTTGGAATTTCCCCGGACGAGATGATCATAACTTATGCCAAAGAAAGAGTACTTGCGAAGGACAAGTTTTTCTTTCATCCGGGCGAACTATAGCCTAGGCCAAATTTCTCTTTCAGTTCTGAGAACCATCGCACGTCAAATAGAATGCTAGGATTAAAGCGATCAGTGCTCTAACAAATTGACATTATTCGGTGTAATGCTGTAAAGTAGAAGCTAGAACACAATTGCAAGTCTCTTCAATTTCGCGTGCAGGCTCCATTATATGGTTGCCACATTGACATATTAGTCGACCGACTAACTTTTGAATAGCAGTCAAGGGAGATTATTTGAAAATTTACATTGTTTTTCCAGTACTTAACTGCACGTTGGCGTACGGCTATTTGCTCCGAGAGAATTCTCTTGTATTTGGTTTGGGAAGAAAAGAAGGGTTGCTAAGCCTGCGTTGGATTATGGCATTGAAGTCACCGGCTTTTTAAAGACTACTGTTTTCTGTAACAGCCTCAGCAAGAGAGTATGAGTAGCGAAAATAGAAACACTAATAAAAGAGTATGCTATTCCTCGTGATTGAATAGTACTTAGTCACTAAGACAGAGTCTGGTTAAGTAACGCCACATTAATAAAAATCCGAACTTATCAGGTTAGTGGCTAAGAAATTGAGCATTACGGTGCTGGCAAATGAGGTCGGCGAGCTGTGCAGTTTCCGGAGTCTACCAAGCTATCCCGTAATCAAAGTGGTGAATTGCTATAACTCGGTCATGACAGCACTCCATGATGGGATCATGAAAAGACTTCTAAACCCGCAAAACACCTTGCAGCTGCATACTGACCGAACGCGTTCCCCCTTTCCCCAAAGATACAATGCACCTGCTTGTTTACAGCTACAGTGCAGTATTGTCACCAGGGAATACCACCGAATAAAAGGAAAAAGGAGCGGCTCATCCAACCATACATGTATATACCTCGCTCAGCCAAAATGGCCACTCTGGAGTCGCGGCAAAGGTAAGCTGTTTGTAGAAGTTTGTATAAAAGGATATTTAACCTAGGCTCTGAGGAACTGTATTAAAGACTGCGACGTGACTGTGGAATCTGCTGGGTTAAATCCACCGCGTGGTAGGATTCCATATCCGTGGGACATTCCACTGACATTTCCAAACTCGCTCTGCTCGTGCTTCCTGTACCCTAGAGTTTTCTAAAGCCTCGCGCAAAGCTTTACTTGCCTGCAACACTCGTGCATTACCCACAGGACTGACCTCCGGCTCAAAATGATATTGTAGTGTCAGGTCTTCCGAAATATCAGTGACAGCTGTAGATAGATCATGAAAGATATTGAGACAGGGCCGGTAGAATTGGTTTTCGCTTTCGTGTTGCCCCCATTGTCGCAGCTTTTCCTGTCGTAATTCTGGCAGCGACAGTCTGCGCCTGGCTTTTGATTCTTGCAGACGTGTGCGGGTAGTCTCTAAAGCCATAGTAGAGCCTCGGACCAAGGCTATCTGGTGGTCCAATGAATTTATTTCTGGTAAGTCGTGTCCGGCAGGAAGATGAACGAGGTCCTTTCTAAAGAATCCTTTTGGTGAATCAGGCGACCGGCTGTAGATGCTAGAAGACGCACCACTGGAAACGCGTTTATCGGTCGCTTCCAAGGACATAGTGGAGGACGTGGCTGAAGAAACTTCTTCTCCAGGGATGAAGTCAGTTTTTAAAGCACTAAAATTGTCGACAACTCGGCCGACATTTTTCACATCGACCACACCTTCCGGAACCCTCAATTTGCACCCTGTAGGCTTATGAGGAACGACCCTAAAAGTGATGTTTACCAGATGAGAAAATCTCCGGAAATGTCCTCCAAGGTTCTGAGGGTTATCTCTTAGTCTATTGTTTCCACGGCCCCACATGGAGGTAGTACATACATACACAAATGTGATAATTCAAAAGTGATCCGTTTGAACAAACAACTAGTATGATTAGAATTGACCGATCGCTAACGTAGGTTTTTATGCCCAACCTAACTAGGATAATAGATAGGGCATGGAATTGATGGAGAGTGGAGAATTGAGGGAGAGTGGTCAAACATGGGTATTAGCGAAACTCCTTGGGTTCCTAAGCCCGACATCTGCCATTCCAAAATGGCATATTGGCAAACAAGGCCTCGTAGCTATCAGTTTTGCTGCAGTACTACTCGGCCACTCTCTCAAAATTCATCACAGCTACTTACAGTACTGCTGAACATAGCGCTAAGAGAGCATGATGAAACAGTCCGTCAGATTAACAGTCTAATTTGCAATCTCTGGCCAAGCCTGCGGGCATGGAGAGCGTGGTTAATGATTATCCTAATCTTCTTTCTATGGGTGATAACCACGGCCAAATAGGGGAGTAATCTGCCTTAGTCACGCAGTAGTAGGGTTTTACGTGTTTTCGCGCTTACAATAATGGACACGAACACAGGTACGGACTGCCATTATTGAGACCCTGGGATAAAAATCACTAATAGTATACCTAAAACTGCATTGAACCCGCATCAAGTAAACTGCGTATTTTATTCGGTGATTAAGCAGTAGCCGATTGTACTTGTTGGTATCACCAGCTAGGTACTGTGTACACAGTTAAGTGGAGACAGTGGTTATGCTTCCAAGCAAAAGTCAATTTGATTCGTGTAAAATAGATGATCCTCCTAGGGCAAGGCCCAGTACCCCTGAATCCATACGGCGGGAGCCGTTGCTTAGCAAGATTACGTACAACCTGTCCTTATTCTGACGGGAGTATATGTCCCGACAGTACTTGTTGAAAGTGTTTTGGAAAGAATGCTGTACTATTCGACATCGCATCTATTGCACAATGTGTCCCGATTTCATTTTTCACCCGGATGCATACTGATTACTTCAATTTTGAGAGATGTGCCTACTTCTAAGATCTTCAATTGAACTGAAATATAACGGTTATGTAACATGTTCGTTAGCAAACTTGCTTACTAGAGCGTAAAGTTCATCGCAAAGAACGACAGTAAGCGGACTAAGCCCCAAGTTTTACAGTCGACATTTCTTTCTGTCTGGGGATGGCTCCAGAAATTGGACACGGCGTTTGGTTCCCCGAGAGCAGTAGCATACTCTGTTTGACGGCCAACAAGCGATTCGGTGATCCGCACGACCGAAATTTGCGTATACTTGCTGATCATTGAGAAACTCATGCATGGATTTTGGAAAGCCACCAATTTTGTGATGGAAAGTGGAATTGGCAATGTCAATTGAGATAACCTCTTCCAGGCTATTAACAGTAAAAGCAACCTTTTTGCGATAGTACCCACACTCAGAACACCCGTCATCGTTGCTAACCGGTCCAAGGTGATATCCGCCTGCAATTTGAAATCGAGGTCCCGGAAACTCAGCGAGCACTCTCTTGATCAGGTAGCTGGCATGCGGACTTGAACAGAGAATTGAACCTTCACAATAGAAACTTCCCTGGTCTCTGACGGGCGTTTGATCTAATTCAAAGAACAAAAACCCTGTTGCCAGTATGGCACGAACAAGCTCATCTGGGATGCCGTATGACAATTCAGAAAGATCTTCCAGTCTACTCACATCATCCAGTCTTGGTAGAGGCCAAGGAAGAGAATGGTTTAGTCGAAATATATGCGCTCTCATCCGGTCAGGAACATAATTGAGTGCTTCATAGAAGCCCTGCTCGCCATCCATGGACGGTGAGGACATCGCCGCTCTGATAATTCGTGGAACTGCCCCGTCCTGGATGATGCTCCCCATAGGGGCATCTTGTGCCTTAGCCTCGGAGCTTGGAAGACCCGTACCGACTGAGACAAGCAGGTCATGAGTCCCCTGTGAAGGCCAAATAATGGCAGATTCTTTCAATGCTATTGCCAAGGGATTGTTGGCACGCACTCCACCGTCCTGCAATGGACCAAATCCGGGGAGAGATTTTGTTTGGAAAAACCTGATTAAATGTTAGCTTGAGCAGAAAATATATGATCTATTGCTGAAATAGCTTACCAAGGAGCGGCGACACTGCATCGAGCGCTGTATAATGGCAAATGTTAGCTTCCACAGAAAGAGAGGACGGAATATAACCAGGATCCAAGACGATGTAAGGGCAAAGGATCAAGAGCACTCACACTTCCCAAAGAAAAGGATTCTGACTTTCGTCTTCTGGTTTCAGAAACTCGTATGCCGAATCGACGGCACGTTGACCAATACCCCGATAATTTGCTAGTACGCAAGCTTTCCCATCGGAGATGCGACTTGTAATGATAGCTAGTCGACTGCCCGCAGAAAGAGTTGTGCTCACATCAAATATTCGTCGCGCTGGATTGATTGCCTCTTTAAGTGTATTTTCCAGGTTGTCTCCATCATATTGGCCGTCTGCAAAGAAGCCGACCAGACATTTTATCCATTTAGCACAACTCGTAACTGAGAATTTTTGCGACGGCGCCGAGGCCAACTGGAAGACTTTTCGGGCAAAAGCTGGGAATTTCCGAAAACTATCTTCGGTCGAGGTGCCATTCAGGATGAGATCTATTTCGTTCAAGGCTCCTGCTTCATCGTCAGATAATCAAAGTGCATAAGGAGAAAGGTAAAACAAAAGCAGTATTCCCAGGGGCTGACTGGATAGTTGCCACATACCAACGCTTGTTCCTGTGCTTAGGTCAAATATATCACGTATACATATTCCATGACCAAGCCGGCTTTCCAATGCACGTAGGAGACCAAGCTGAATGATGCCACGGACCCCACCACCATCTAGACTAAGCACAAGGGGTCGTTTCGTGGGCGGTAGCTGACGAATTGTGAGCGGAGAAGGCTTATGGCATAATGGGCATTTCATAATATCGAAGTGATATTCAGCGCATTTGTTTGGTGTTCCGAAAATCACAACGCAGGTATCGCAAATTGCATGCCCGCACGTCAACATATGCTCTGGTGGTCGACATAAGCAATAGAAACACGTTGTTGTTGATCTTAGACCATTCCATTGAAGGTAGTAACTACGTAATATTTCCTTCCTGATAGTTGCAGATGAGCGTGTTGGACCCATCGACCGAAAATACTGCGTAAAATGTTCAAACACGGCGTTGCAATGTTGGTGCTCATCCTCATTCTCCAATGTACGCCATCCGTCCAGACAGTGTCTGCGATAAAGTTTATTAAAAACAAGGTCGGGATGAAAGCCTATGGCTGTCAGTGCTGCCCTACTAAGGGTGGGCGCTGCGATGAACAACGTTACTCACCATGCATTCCAGGAGGGTAGGCATTCATTAATAACGCCGATGCAATGAAAGCGTGGACTCCATTTTTGGCAAGGATATAACTGGTTGCTTGTTTAATAAACTCGACCAGGCATTCTGTCGTAATGTTGTTGAGCCGGTGATTTTCTCGGGCAACTTGAAGGCAATCCAGGATGCTAGATTCCGAGGTACCAAGTTCTAGACGCAGTGTACGCGTCCAAAGGGTAGTTAGATGTATAGCTGAGAAAGATAGGCCTTGGCGGCTTTGTTCCACCCGGATGTCTTGGATTTCATTGAGAATGAGACGTCGTAATGGCTCAAAAGCTGCTGTTGGGGATAATTCGTACCGATCGCGTAGGTCTAGGACGGTGACATCCTTACTGAGACTCTCTGTGGCATGCAGTTCATGGGAAGCTTTACATAGATCCTCATTTCCAACATTTTGAGCTCCTGTTAGAACTATCACGATATGCATCAAATCTGGAATGGACTGAGAGCCGATCGTGACAGTTTGGCGGGGTCGCTTAAGCAGCTGACAGGCGTCGCGAATGTCAGACTGGGTATCTACAAACAGACAAAAGACATTTGTCCACGGCAAAAGCACCTGAGAGATGACTTGCTGCTGTATCTCCGTTACTCGCCGAGTCCCGTCTTGGAGAATGCGATATCGTTGGACATTGTCCGATGACCAGCGGCGCAGACCTGATTCACCCAGCCCGGAAACATTGGAAAGGCTGCTTTCTGCCAACAGGATAGGATTCAGAGTGCTCGCAGTTCTTGTGCTAAGATGCAGTCTGACCAGACCAGCTGGACCTCTGCGAGTAATGTTGTTGTGAGGGAAGAGCGCCCGAAGCGCTTTGATCCGGCTCCCATTCCCTGCGAAGTACACTACCGAAGGAAATTGAGTATGTGGATGGCTCATTCCATGCACTAGTTGTTCCATTCGTCCCGTGTCTACCAAGGTCCAGCCTGTGGAGTCCGAGACGAGATCTAGCCATGCTGCCATTGAAACCGAAAGAAAGATAATATCAGAAGTTTCAAGGACAAGAAGCCTTAAGTATCAGACATAGTGGTGAGCGTGCGTACAGGTTATTTTCTAAAACCCAAAAAGTACTGGCGCTCCTATTTCTGCGGCGCGTTTGAAGATAATGTTTACTAAGTTTAGAGCCTGTGATACGAAACCGTGGATGGCGCTGTTTATTTGAATCGACCCTGCGAATTCGATTATTTGACTCTCAGGAACGATGCTAGAGCAAGCGCTACTCTCTGTCATTAATCAATTTACCGTTAGATTTGCGTTTCAGTGATTGATAACCACTGAATTCTCGTTGGATATGCTGTTCCCATGAGCGTTACACTTCGTCCCGCCTATCCATACTCGTGGGTGTTCAGCCTTCTCGCCCAGCTCGCCAAATACACATGCTGAGCAAGCAAAATAAGGCAAATTTTTTGTGAGTCTAAATTCCTTATTCGGCTACTGATCATGTTGTGTTCTAACCGCTTGTTTCGTCCTCTTGTTTCGGTAGTCATAGCGCAATCAATTACACTAGTGTGGAGAAGCGGAAAGCACTAGCGATACAGTGGCATTCATGAGGGTTGGGATTGTATCACGGCCGCCTACTACATTACTCGGGGCCCTGCTTCGTAATATTCTACGTGATTTCGGGTAAAATTACCCTGTATATGTGTTTATACACTGACGACGAAATACCTTCATGAGAAAGATATTGGTGTTCGAGTGATCGGCGGGGGTGCATCATTACGAGGAATTGTAAGTTATGGCATTAGTTCATGACGGCAGATAATTGGAGTTATTACTGGTAGCATTTTTACTCCATTTGGGCTGTGAATAACAGCAAAGACTTATGATGTCCGATTGGGGCTCTGCGAAGCAACGCTATATCAATCCCTAACTGTTGATCCCACTATGCCGCCCCGTCGCCGCTCCATTCCCTCCTCGCCCTAACTAGGCTACATTTTGCGTCGCCGCTGCATACGCCCTTGCCAGATTCGGCGCCTGTAACCCAGGCCACCCATACGGCACACCACCAGCCTGGAAACTCGCCGTTGTTTGAGGCACTGCAGAGGAGACACTTACAGGCAACCCGATTTCAATTTAGCCCTCGGATGGCGAGATATCATATTTCTTTATGTTGTTCTCTAGAGGTTATGAGCACCTGCTAGCCCGTCAAATTCAGACCAATAAACGACCTGTTTTCTCTGATTTCCAGAGACCTTCGAACTCATATTCGGGGACATCATTTACGAACAATGGCCGATGTTAACCTGCATAATTTGCTGCAGGATATCAGCCAAAGCAACCCCTCAACTGGCGTCTACTGCTCGTAGAGAACTCCGTGCTCCAATTCATGCTCCATGCTGGCGCGAACAAAGGCTGCGGATCCCAATACGCTATTGTATACGAGTGGTTGCTCGGTATAGTACTAAAATCACATGTGGTCAGTTTCCTTCATCTCAAAAGTGCGCAAGTACCACCACAAATGAGTTTTCCCGTTTTCGTTCGTACCTCGTAGTTAGCGGTGGAGTTCAAGCTGCACACACCCACGGTTCCGTTGTAGCTTAGGGTGCCGTCTTGATTCTCCACGACGAATCTGTCCACAAGTGTGCGATAGGCCCGAGCGGCGACGCTGGTATAATTTGCCCGGAAATGGGCAATGTGGTTCTCAGAGGGGGGCTCTTGAGGGTTGTTGTCTTGCAGAAGGCCAAGTCGCACCCCCTTGTAGAGGGCATAGGTGAACATGGCAGATCCACTAGCTTCAATGTAGTTGCCTTTACGTCCCGGGGAGGACATCACTTGCCACCAGCAGCCAGACGCCGGATCCACTGCTTGCACGACAGCGTTGGCGAGATCAACGAATCGCGCACGCCATGTCGCCACCCGTGAGTCCATGAGCGGGAGCTCTAGAAAGTCAACCAATGCCATCATGAACCAGCCGAGCGCACGATCCCAGACGATTAGACTGGCGCCAGTCGTGGGGTTTGCCCAGGAGGCGGTCTTGGTTGCATCATATCCATGGAAAAGAAGGCCCGTCGTATTATCATAACAATGCTTCCACAAGAGTTCGATCTGATGGAAGAGGTCATTGTTGACCTCGGTCATGTTGGCAATATCCATATTCGTGGTATACAAGGGGTAGAATGACAACAGTGAGAACATTCCATCCAAATAGCTCCAATTTGGATAGATATAATACCATAGTCCGCCTGTCTCAGTATCAGCAAAGAACAAGAACTTGGCGAAGTCGACGGGTAGGTGAAGAAAACGAAGGGACAGGGCCATGGATGGTAACAGAATGATTACCGAATATATTCCGCGGCTGCAGATCAATCGAGGCACGCAGAGCAGCAAGCGTCTTCTTGTATGTGCTGGTCGCAGTTTCGTCGTATCTAAGGTCCCGGTTTTGACTTGATTAGGAAACCCATGCGTGCCGAAGGGGTGGTTGCATCAAGAACGTACAGGTACAACAGTCCTCTACCCACGGATAGGCGGTCTAGAGGAAGCCTGGCATCTATGGTTGCATTATCAACCACGTCAACAACTGTGTCAGCGCTTGCGCTGACGTAGATTTTCCAATTTTGCTCCATGTAACGACCTGAAGGCGACTGTATTAGTTCCATGACGGCAGTCTGGAAAATCCCAACCTGCAAAAGCGATGATCGATCGGTTTGGTTTTCGAGAATGGCCTGTCCACGGGAGATGATGCTATCGGCCATTCGAGCCGAGTAGGGGCGTGCAGTGGTGCTGGTGGATGCAGACACTCCATTGGGTTGACTGAAGAGCAGTACGCACAACATGAGGAGCAACGAAAATAATGGGCTTCGCAATGCCATTTTCTTGGATCCGCCTTACTCTTACGCACAATTGCAGGCTTGTCAAATCGCTGTCTGTCGGATAGGATGAATTTGCAGTTCAACCTCCGAGACTCCAGGGCTGACGCATGTGGAGGCCTCAGTTGGAGCTGCTGTGATTGGCCAATCATATTCAGGTTTAGTTATAGACACGTGTCGTAGCAGATCGGGGCATGATCTTCAATCGCAATGCGCTTAAGATTTATCAACCCTAAAAGAGGGTTTCTACAGTCCACACGTAATGATGTTGTTGAAATTGTTGTGATGTGAGGCTGGTGCAGATCAGGAAGCAAGCCGAACCATCGGAATTAGTCCCGAGATATGTATACGAAGAACAAGTTGATTGGAAATCAACTTGTTCTTCTCGTTGTATATATAGTCTCAAGTTTCCCACCGAATAATAGAGGAATTAATCTTCCTTTTGAATTACAACAGAAATATCCCGGTTGCTGAGATAATAATGAAGCTGGGATCACGTGCATACATATATACTTGTTCACCAGCCTACTTGTATCTTAGACAACATGCAACAAACACATAATTAACTCCGTTCAATAACATGAACACTGAAGCATCACTTAATAATCGACAGATGTATTTCTCCTCAATTTTCTATTGCTGGTAGATTTCTCCCATTTCATGCGCGTGAGACTTAAGTGAGGGGTATAAATTGGCGTGTACGGGGTTGTGAATAACCTGTTAACGTTATATTCTATAGCGATCCACATCCTGGACTTCAGTCTTATGTATTTTGCCACCAAGTGCTTGAGCTTTTCAGGGGTAATTCATCCAGGCACGATTACTGTATATATAATCTGGAAGCTAGGATCCTGTGTTCCGGAAGCCACTCACTTCCAGGTGGTGGCTTTAGCGTCACGTAGATTGGAAAATTACAATGGTACTTTGGATACAAGCTCCGGTCTGAAGTGTGCTGACCGCTATTTGCCAGTTTGGCCGTGTCCAAAAGCAACTACTCCGTACTGTGTAAGAACTTTCCTAAAAACAGCCCGTAAGGTTAGTCACGTCTGATATTGTGACCCACCCTTCTGAATCACTGTTCGGCCTCTCGGAGTAGTACGGAGCACAGTAAACTAAAATGGCCTAGTTTCTTTTTAATCTAAAAGTCACCATACCGCGAATCTTTCGGCCCGCATGCGCAGGGAGATCACGGTCAGTCTAATCTCCAAGATCGAAAATCATTCCTCGCACTTGGACTCAGTCTACATGAGCACAAAAATCATCATGCCGTCTCTTGTTATTCAAATGGTCACAGTCAACGATGTGCCAGCCTTGCCCCAACTTTGGTACACGGCCTTTAGCATCCCAGTGAACCTGCACATCGGGAGTTCCAGACAATGTGAGTCTGGTTTGACGGGGATTCATGTCGCACTCTGCAATCCCTTGATCCCAGGAATGATAAAATAAATCCAATGCCCGTGTCCAACTTTAGTTTCTCATTTCAAATTATAGACGTTGGTGCATCCAATTGCCGACCCTCGTCCAATAAATCACTTACTTCAAGGGTGTGAACTATAACGTTCAAATCGACTGAGTGATGGAGCAGCGCCACAATTGAGGCAATGACGCTACCCGTTCCCAATATTTGAATTAATCGAGGAATAGAAGCCTGACGGCCTTCGCGGATTCCCGTTAAAGTCTCGTTGACATTCTAGTATGTTGAAACCCAGTGGTACTTGGTGGAACCGGGCGAGTGAGCCATTCACCGATGGCCGTCTTGCAGATGACAACATGCCCAGCATCTCTTGTTTCGTGCTTTGTGCGCTCTGAATGTAGACACTTGTTATAGCTTGCGTGCTCCAAGAGGCCACTCAATGTGGCTCTTGCTGTTCCATTCCCATAACTGAAATATGGCTGTTGTATGACTTGTAGAAGCCTGTGCGCCATGCTCATTATGCGAAAAGGGAGGCGGGACCGGGTTGAGTGAACTGAAGAATTCTGCAGAAACAAAGTGAAGAAATCGGTTGTAGCGGCTTGGACTAGAGCTCCCGTCGATGTGTGAGCCATATAGACGTCGCAGCCTTAACTCTCATGGTCGCACTTCACGCCTGCAGCTAGTAGATCCTTTGCAGCAAGCACGGCTTCCATAATGCTAGTCTGTGCTTGATCGCATCGAGTGGCGTCGAGGAAGGGGTGATCCAATTGGGGGTAGCGGCTGTCTTGACGACCAAGGTAGGGTTAGCGTAGTTTGATCAATGGTGAGAGGAGAATCAGGAGACGGAGGTCTGACCTGATGTAAGCACTTTACCTAGTTATGTTTAAAGTTAATTCATCCTGTCAGAAATATGGTGGAGCTGCGTGTGGATTTCTGGGTATTTACCCAGAATATCTTACGACATCAAATCAGACACCTCACATAAATGATAGGTTCTATTTGGGACTGTTGCGTGAGAGCCCCTTGCGTCGGGCCCACGATATCCCGTGCTGGACATCGCACACAAATATCGCCTGGCCTTCCCCTCCCTCGAAAAGAACATCGCCGTTCCGAGGGAGAGCCGGGCTCTCTCCGCGACGGTTTCTTCCCGCCCACCGCGGAACCCCCTCATGTATATACCACGTATGCTCCCGTATAGCTACTTTTCCTCCTAGAATATACGGAGTGCCACGGGCCCGCCTGCAGCCCTCACGGCGCTGTAGCCCTCCGTCAACGAGGCCTACATCGCCAGTGTTCAGACCGCAGGTGCCCCGTGCGGGCCAAAATATCTCATCCGTCTCCATTTGTGCCAGTGTAACAATGGTTAGAATAAAAGTGCATATTACTCTTTGTCAGCATATCCTACAAAATTGTCAAGTTCATAGTTTTTAGTTAGGGGGAGAGTTTAATATTACCGTTCGGGAACCCATACAATGTTGGTCACTAATTACTGTTACATCCTTCCAACCTCCGAAGTATACTGTTTCCAAGAAAGGGATGTTCAAAGTAGAAAAGACCACGAGGGCCATCCGCGACGCATAGATTGGGGTATAAGAAGAGATTAGAAAAACAGCTAAAAGAAGAAAGAAGGAAGTCAATAAATACAAGTGACAATCACCCCAACTCAGCTGCCATCAATCCTCATAAAACTCATATATTCTTCCGTATTCATAACCATACCAGGAATAACAAGCCTAGGAATCCAATACGGCTTAAAATCAACAATGCTAACATCGTGACCGGACGAATGGACAACCCACTGCGTCTGACCATTCGACCCGAGGAAGAGTCCCTTGAGCGATGCACCCTGCATCGAGTGCTGGTAGACCTGTACGGGCTCAAAGTCCCGCCCCCAGACGAGTCGGCCTGTGGCTGGGTGGTGGTTGATGCCGACGGGCTGCCAGGCTAGATCCCCGGAGCCGTAGGGGACAAGTGCTTCGATTTGAGTTATTTCTTCGTTGCCGTTACAGCGGAGTTGAGTTTTTATGTTTTCCTTTTGGCTTGTTATTGTGACCTGTGTGGCTGTTAGTTCTGATGCTTTGGTTTTGGTTGGTTGAGATGAGGGAATGATGGAACTTACCAGGCCGTTGAGGTAGCCTTCATCGCCAAATTGACGTGTGGTATCGGCGCCAGTGGAAAACCCTTCGATGCTGCAGCTGCCGGATGATTTACCATTATAGCATCCATCGACGTTGATCGTCCATGGACCGGCGATCTTCGTTTTTGCGTTGTAATCTGGGAGCTCGGAGCAGTATTTGACAGGTTCAACCGTCATCGTTTGCTCCAGCGACTGTGCGCCAACAACGAGGAAGAGAGAGAAAAGAGCCGCTGCAAGCATGGTGTTGTGCTGTGAATGGGGAGGACGAAAGAAAACTTTTATGAGGAGAATGTCACCATTCTGTTATACGGGTTTCGCGGTTAATTTGAACAAAGTTTTCCGGACCCAAATTCCCTCGAAAAAGCCAACTACAGATCCATTTCAGGCTGCAATGATCCAAACAAGCCCTGGAGACCCTGATCGGTCGAGGGTTCTAGTCTCCACTAAGGGGCGGAACTGGACGGACATTGGTCAAATATGGTCGAACTTGAGCTGTTCTTCCTTTGACTGAGATCCTTTACAGGCTATGCTTCCTCACGTTGCACCCTTGCGGCCCGTTTACTTGTCGAAGTCTGCACACTCGATCACTCTTCCTGGTAAGGCGGCGTCATGATGTACTTTCTGACCCCCGAGGCTCGCTACTGTTGGGGACATGAGCCATTAAAGTAATAGCAAGCTGTACGGGAGTCCTCCTAGTTCGAGGATACCAAAGAAGACAGTCCGGCTGCGGGGAGCTATAATCGACCAACGGCCTCAATACTGCGCTGATCCCCTGAATTATGGGGAATTACTCGTCTGATGGAGATCCCCGCTAATGGATACCATCTCTCGTGGGAACTGCTTGGAAATTGGCACGTGGTCTTAATCACCCGAACGTGTGAGTCGTGAAATGTCTCTCGCCGATCTAATAGCTGATGATTGACAGTGAAACATTGACAGCGCACCACAGTGACCCACAAGGAACCAGCACCACTGCCAATGCTCTGCGCAAAGCCATTGCTTACACATCATTTCTGGTCCTGTCGCTTCAAACCGTGCAGCATGCCCTAGGTGAAATATTGCAAATTAAAGCAGCGGGGGGTGCTCCGTGTCGTAGGCACAGTCAAACAGAGGGATGAGGTGCAGGGCTATTCAGTGCTCCAACAGCACTCGACAACAACTTCAAGGTCATGGAGTCGAAACAGGTCCATGTGGGACCGATGGACCCAAGACGGCCCCCAAAAAATAAATGCATTAGCTTAGCCACATGGAGCAAAGACTTCGCTACCACAACAGAGCACAAAGTACGATTCGAGGGATTTAGCTTGACCCTCCTCCCTGGGCCTAGCAGCATCG